TCCTGCTGAGCATCACACCCATCCTGGCCGAGCTGGCTGGGGTAGCCCTGATTTAGATTGCCGTGTGGGAATAATATGGGGTGTTTGAGATCACACCGTCAGAACACTGCACGGTTCCTGTCCTGAGGTTTGGTCCTTGGCATTTTGACTCTTAGGTGATATCACCGGTCATTTATAGGGTGAAGAACAACATTCAGCGGATGAAAGAATATACATATACTGAAAATTAACAAGCTTTTTATCTAGACTGACAACCACAATCTACCAATCTGCTGTACAGAGCGCCCAATACCCCCACGTCCCGCTAGCGTAGCTCCACACGCCCGTCTCGCCTGAGCCTTTGCGGAGGGCTGCCGAGATCAGCCGTTCCCTCGCTGGGAGCAGCAGGGTCTGTGAAGTGAGCCTGGAGGTTATCACCTCGCTGATGGCATGTCGGGGTGGTAACTGGTGATGGAATTTCTTCCCCTTCTGTTAGAGACATGTATAGTGTGTATAAAGTACAGGGAGGGGATATTATTATTGTGCGAGAGCAATCAAAAGGTTAGGACAAACCAGAGCTGACACTGCTTATTTGCTCTTTATTCAGTCTTCTTGTACCGATGCATTAGGAGACAGACTTTAATTGCATAACCACATACTCTTCTTTTTTTTTTTTCCAGGATTCCTGTCTCGTTCAATATGTTAGAGTCACTGTATGACTTGCGGATATACTGGGTTTGTTCTCTGCGAAGGAGAGCTGCCTGCAGAACACTTGCTTTACGTGTTTCAGGCATTGAAAGATGTCAATGTACCAAGTGAAGGTTACAGAAAGTGACAAGATCAAAGAGTTAAGGCAGAAGAATGCTGCTTTGGAGAACTGGACTCTGTTCTTGCCAGTGATATAGTCGTACATTATATTAATGATGTTTTTTTCAACCTAATATTTCACAGTTGTCCAGTAATTTCAGTTCCTCATTTGTTGGAGACTGACACCAGGGATCCGATTTATAGATGTGCTGATCCCTCGCTGCAAATAAATTTATGGTCGTCATGCTTTGTGTGTTTTATAATTCTCTGCACTCTGAGAAGTCAAGTTCTATGAAATCTCTCTCAGTTTAAGCACGCAAAATAAGATTTTTGTAATCTCTGTGCCTCAAGGCTGCATCTCTAAAAGGGGGGTGATAACAGGTCCCTTAGCTCTGAGTGGTTTATGAAAATAAATTTAATAATGTCTGCAGAAATATAATGATGCTGGAGTGGCTAGTGTCACGAGGCAATTAATAATCCCCTCTTCAAAAAAGAATTTTCTTAAAGTGCAAAAAATAAGTAAAAAAAATTGAACAGTAGAAGAAAACAAAGTACTGAACAGATGAACACTCTCCATCCTTAACGCTGAATACAGAAGAAAGCTATGAAAACATGGCACTTGGTAGGCTTTAATGGCACAACTACATTAAAAATCAAAGCTAACCTTAATTTTTCAATTTTCTCATTTCTGAGTGCTTGCCTTTGTTACTGAGATAATATTCTGTGTAATATATTTTTCCACCGGGTGATTCACATGTGCGCACGCCGCAGATGCCCTTTCATTAGTCAACTGCTACTTGTTAGCAGTTTCTACCTTTGCCAAGCACACCTCTCTAGCGTTATCTGCAGCAGAGTATTTCCAAATAATATTACGATAGGTTGCCATTCTAAACCAAATATTTAAATATCCCCGTAATGAACAATCCTCCCGGAGAGTAGAAATGCCAAGAGACATAGCAGCCACCCTTCTGGAGTATCTCTGATGCCCTGTCTCATTCTATTTTTGTGCAAACCATTTCTCTTCAGTAGCAAATGGAAACTCAACCTCCATTTTC